GTTTGATACAAGGTAGTCACAATTATTTACAACTATTTAATCTGAAATTTGATAGTTTGGATGTGCCACAAAGTTCGAAAAAATTTATTTTTAAGCTCGAGCTTAATCAATAGAATAATTGCAGTCACCAAATTTTACTTCTAATGATCAATATTAATGTAACTACCTTATACCAAAAGTAAATAGTCTCATTTTATACTTTCCCAAATTTTATTTATTGTGTTTCATTACTTCTTATTACTTCTATTTAGTAAGATTTAAAAAAAATTCCCATATTAGAAATGCATTTAGACGATGGTGGGTGTAAGTAATAAATATTACTCTTTTGACATGGGTGGAGCGTGGGTGGAAATAATAATTATTGTGATTTATTTGATAGGGAAAGATTCTTTTGTGATCCCTCATGCGCCGTCTGACGCCGGCAAACAGGGTACGCTTTCGTGGGCCCGGACGCCTTCATGGACGCCGTTAGGAATGACGGAAAATAGTCGGTTTCCTTTCGTCCGAAATCCACTGAAGCGCGCCGAAATTTGTTTCTTTTGTCAACTTTGGTGGTTGTGTTTTGCGCTTGTGCCCTCTTTTTGTTGGCAGCGGAACGGGAGTTGGAAATTTCGGTCTTTTGGTTTTCGTTTCGTCTCGGTCTCCCAAGACTTTGAATTTCCACAGGGTCTACGTAAGATTTCGTATTCAAGCGTTTAGAACTTCTACCGGTGTTGTCAATTTTGCTTCGGGTGCTTTTGGATTTTAGGCTACGCATCCGTGAAATTTGTTTCGGGTCGATTCGGCATAAGCTTTGGTCTAAACAAAAAATTATTTATATAAAAGTACTAGTTTTATTTTTTAAAAAAAATATATATTTTTTATTATTTGAATATAAAAATATTTAAAAAAATTATATTAATTTTTTAAAAAATTCAAATTTATTCCCCAAATTAGTTAAAACACCGAATTAGTTCATTTTTATCACCTAATCTTACACTATTTTCCTGGTGGGTGGAAGCACTATTTTCTTTGCAAATTATAAAAACCTTGACCCTTTTATTTAATGGAAAATATAGCCTTAGTGGAAATTTTCTTATTTTTAATTTTCTGGGACCATACACCAATCTCGGTACGGGTGTAGTGTATACAATAAGCGCATTTATGTTTGTTTGGTGACAAATTTAAACAATATACAAATATTGGGACCAAGCTTTCTCCATAAATCTCGCCTTGTAAGGAGGTTGTCGTGGACAAGAATAAATGGAAAAATGAAAGTGAAGAGCAATAACTTTCCCCGAATTTTTAACTTGTTAGAGTTTCATGAACAAAACATAGAAATGCACCACATTTTCTTATTAAGTCTCAACTGTTCCAATATTGCTTTCAATAGTAAGTTCAATAATAAATTTGTCAGTAGTTAGTTGGGCAGGGGAAACTAGAGAAAGAAACCCAAAGTCGTATAAGTTGGGAAAAATGGTAAAGAAGAACTTGGCGAGGACTGCACAACACATACTTTTTTTGAAAAAAAAATGTTAATTTAGGGAATGGAGCTTGGAACCGGTGTCATATTGTGGAACCCACCACTTTGAGCATCTATGTCTTGAGTTAAATTTCAAAATGCTCTATTTAGTTTGGAACGGTTATTTAGAAATGAACAATTCGACTTATAATCGATTGAATCTACATGGGAGTTGGTTTATTTGTTAAAGCAAGGGGATCATACTCAAGAATAGATGAATTGGAATTGAATCCATAATGGTTTCGTGCATGATCCCTATCACTTATTTAGTAAAGTAGGAGTTTTTTCCTAAAAAAAACTAATTAAAAAAGACTAAGATGCTTATTGAGAAAAAATTCCTCCTCCTCCATGGCAAAGCCAAAACAAAAAGTACAATAGTAGCTTTATTTGGTTATTTTTTTGTATCAGGACTAAATTATTTTATATAAAATAAAATAATATAAGATCAGAATTGGTGTAGCCGACCCCAATTATGTGAAAAAAAACTATGATGATGATAATATTGAGGATTTGATGTGTACTTTGTCTTAAATATAAGGTTCTTTAACGGGAAAAATAAGATGCGGAGGGTTGTTGCCTCGACATAGGGTACTAGACTCCATTTCCATTGTTAATACTCTTAAAAAAAGGGATTATTCGGCTATTGAGCTATTTTAAGTTATTTTTGGCGAAATATTTTGAATAAAACCAGACTAACATTTTAGAACTAAAAACTGATATATGACATTGCCTTTTGGTCTATTCTGGACCGGGACTGTCGCAAATATGAAACGCCCGGCTTTCGCAATTCCAAGTGTTCGCCAATTAAAAAAAAATTACCGAGACGAAAATCAGGTAAAACTCGGCGACCCAATCAAAATATCGTGGCGCCTTAAAAATTTAAAAGAATTTAAAGCTTGGCGCCATGTCCAACAAAAGTGGCCTTGAGTGGACAAACGGCGGTTGCCCCCTCACGTCAAGTAGATTCAGATTCCAAGATAGTGGGGGCTCTACAAAACGGTTATTTTTTTTTAAAGGAAAAAGTTTATATACAGCTCAGCTCTTTTGATGCTCAAATATCAGATAATATCGATTTAAAGATATTTTGATATAATAAAAAAATAAATATAGATTGTAAATTTTGAAAATAGTGCATTTTGTAATATATGTTTAGACAACCAAATTTCAAGATTTTCAAATTTTTATAATTTTACGTTATTTTTAAAATATTAAATTTTATAATTAAAAATTAAAATATAATTTAAGACTATCACAAAATTTTTCAATATTAAAACCATACTTCTTGACATTATTTAAAGGCGGGCTTTGATTTTATTGTTTAGCACATCAGCTCTATACGCACCTTTATTTTTAAAGAGCAAAAACTTTCTAAATAAAATAAAAGATATAGAAAAAATAAAAACAATAATAAAGTGACCCTTTTTTTGTCGGCACTTAATAATTTCAAAGTTTAAAGCTTAAGATTTTTAAAAATAAATTAGTTCATTTCAAAACTCACAAAATAAGAAACTATAATTTTGGCGTTAAAAAACTACCAAATCGATCATTTCCACCTTAACTATTGTGGTTGTGAATAATTTTAGGATTTCTAAATCGTAAAAATAATGTATATTATAATATTTTATTTTTCTCTAAAAATAAGTGTTTACAGGTCCTTGCAAGATTTATATATTTTTCTAACTTAATGTTTGATATTGATTTTGAAGTTGTCATAGATATTTCTTATGCATCTACCCAAAATTTATAGAAATTTTATGCCCAAAATGCTTTCAAAGATAATTCGTGGAGGTTTTACATTATTTTTTTTTATAGAAAAATGGTTTGAGAGTGCTACAGACATGTCAAAATAAGTAGAACCTCACCTCATAATTTGTTCAAAACTACAATCCGAGCATTCGAAAACCTTTATATCGATCATCTCGGCTTGAACATAATACAAAAAAGTTAAGATTTTAAGCTCTAAAAATCACATATATTCTAATAACTTATCTAGACCATCAATTTCACTCTAAAATTAAGTCTTTCAAGATCCACAATAACGGTATCATTTTTTTTATTTTCAAAATTTATTATCGGTGTTGAAAATGGATTTAGATCCATCATGAATATTTCCATTGTCGAAATTACTTTCAAGATGAGGATTCATTTTATTTTCATAAAACTAAAAACTTCATCCTTATTTGTAAGGCTAGACCTTATGGAAACTACATCCTTCCATTTGAAAAAATTGGAAGCCTAAATAAAGTCCTGGAAATAGATAATGGGATTTGATTGGACAGAGTAATGGCGGGAGAGTGATGTAACGTCTTTGTGGTCGTACCTTCTTTTACATGAATTTGTCTGAAATGACCCTAAAATTTAGTTCAAATTTCTGTTATAGTGTCACAAAGTTACTATTATACCCCTTGACAGTGGGAAAGTAATTAAACATTCGGTCAAATCATCCGAAATTCCATTCAACATGCGGCGAGAGTTCGAGTGGAATCTCCCGTCCAAGAATACAAACACACGACAATGCCGTGAGGACGGGGCCTTGGAAATTTCGGGAACTTTTCGGCCGAAAGTTTAGGCGGTGGGACAAATGGGTCATTCGTGAAAGACCAAGGGTATTTTGGTCATAAAAAGTTGAGTTTCGAATAGTTTAGGGTTTTAGAGAGAGGAGGGGGGATGATGGTGATTTCTCTTTTTTTTTTTGTAGAGAGAGAAAATAAAAAGCGGGGATGTAGGGTTTATTTACAGATGGCAGGGTGGTTGCAGAGAAGGACAATTGTCTGAGCCAACCACTGAGGGCAGAGAGAAAAGAAGAGAGAGAAAGAGAGAAAGAAGGGAGAGAAATTGAAAAAAAGAAGAGAGAGAAAGTGGCGCCAGTTGTTGCATGGTCTCTGTGTGTAAGATTTTTGTTGCGCCCAAGCTTTCAAACTCCCCCCGCCCCCCCCTGAAACCTTAATAAAGCTGCCCCTTCAACATT